GGAGCAATGAAGTAGTCCTGATACGTACGTTGGCATTATCATAGATTTACTCATGAGTCACGCTGATTGATAAATAAATGAAATAAATTATTTGTTCTTTGTTTTCCTTGACTATATGCACTTTACTTCCTATAAGACGATATGGAAAGTTTTATTATACAATAATTGGATAATTGGATAAGAATATCGATTAGTTTCAATTAACATACCTACGAAGACAATTATAAGTCTCCAAATAATATTTCACACCCATTCGTAGAAATACTCTCAATTGTGAAACGAAAAAGTTTATTGAAATTAGTTTAGATACTATTGGCAAACAAGTCGAGTGCACGTATGTGCAAGAGCCAAGTGCTAATCAAATAGTAAAAGACGATTGAACAATAGAACTCCAGTCCATTAATGAAAAGGCTTGTAACGATAAAATACCACATACAAACCATTGCGCTCGCACAACTTTTCCATATCGCGGACGCAACTTAAATAAAGAATAGGGAGCCGTTGATTATCCCTTCAGAAAATAATCAAGAGCGACCGCCGTGATCCGTGGTCGTATAAATCTTAAAATAAATAGAGTGGGAAAGGTAGAGAAGGTAAAAAATATGCATACAAGTGCAGGTCAAATATGCTCTTCGAATGCGCTAATCTTTTTCAACGTTACGTAACATGATGATCGCATAGTTTGAATATTAGATGTTGCGAGGAATACTTTATGCATAACCGTATATAGATTTTGATTATTGGGGATCGACATCGTTATAACCATCCTTCTCCACGTATTTCTTAAGCGGAGTCATATGAGCTAATCGACCCTACAAGTCAAGAGAAATTTTTTATGCCCCCTTACAAATTTTAGAGGTTTAATTAATTTTATATTTTTCTTACGGTGTATCATCATCTATTATGAATTGTAATCATATAAAACTACTCATTTAATAAACTACTCATATGATTTTAATTTTAAACGTTTATTCTTCAATCCATCATAATTAATCGACATACAATTGCGATTATAATACATTTAAAAAGGCATTTTAATTTCTTCAAAACAAAAAATTATTTCAGTTTAATGTATTAACATTTAGTACATTAAATACTGTATATGGTATTCCTTGTGTGTCTGTATGTCTATATAATTGTCAATACGTACATTTTTACAAATTTAATGTAAATATGGAATATACAAATATTTATTGAATTTTTTAAAGAAATTACATATGTACGACCTCGTGATATTATATAATGAGATTATCTGTTGTCTTATAGTAAATAAGAAAAGTTAATACAATTTTCATACAAGAAAAGTTAAATACAATCAATAAAATATAAAGAACATCATACATGAAATCAAAATCTTTAATAATCCAATTAAAGAGTGACTAAATGTGTGACAATTCTCAAAAGAATATTTGCATTTTTCTACTTTTTTAATTTCTAAATGAAATCACACTATTTATAAAAGTAAAAAACCTAATGAATTTTATTATCTTGAAAATATAGTTTTACTTAGTAATATAAGATTAATTTTTTAATTAATAAATTATCTAACAAATATTATCATAAAAGATTTATTAATCCTTCTCACATAATCTATCTGAAACATTTATCATTTAAATCGCAATGTTAATGATCTAAATTATGATTATTATAAATATTCTTGTAAGTTTGCATTGAATCTTTTTAAAAAATGAATTATTTTAATATAAATTAAGTATTGATGACTGCAATAAGCTAGTATAGTAGTGTTTCAAATGAAATTACAAGTAGTAAAAATAATTCTAAGTATATTATATTGATGATATTGAATATAAAATTTAAATAACTTGATTATGCATTTATTAGATCATTGAATATTGCGATATCTTCCTTCACGTAACTAACAAAATAACTTTTATATATGTATATATAAATATCGTGAATATTGATACTCATATCAATAGTAAAACTCTACGCTATAAACAAATCAGTTCAAGTATAAAATAATCCTTCATATTTTATTCCGAGCTAATTTACAAGAAATACTATTGTAAATGTAGCAAAAAATATTGCACGTTTTAAAAGAAAGTTTGTTTCATCCCTTCCCTTTAAAAGTTTTTAAATTTTCCATAGTATTAATTAACAATAATTTTATTTCTTAACCTTTTACAACATAAAGATTATCTAAATTGATCTTATTACAAGTTACTTTTTACACTAAATTTTCAAAATCTTCAAATACTATACAAAACTGGAAAACTAAAGCTACTGTATATTGAATGTATCTTAATTCTTAAGTTAATTTGAAGTTTTTAAATTTAAATATTTTATTTAAATTTAGTATTTATTATTTAATTGCAATCAGCAATAGGATATATTTATAGATGTATGTTATTCTTGTAAAGGCAAAATTGTATATACTATAAAAAATTTTTCATTGAAGAAAAAATCATCATTCGTAACATTAAATTAAATTATATAAATATTTTTATAGAGATTACTAATAACACATACGAATACAGATTCAAGATTTGTATGATCCATCATGATATGTATGGAATTTAAGAATAAGGAAGGAAAAAAATTGTTAATTATTTAAAACAATAATGAAACAAGATAGATAAGAGTGTTTTCAAGGAAGCAAAGTCGCTATTAGTAATAATTGCTGGAGAGGGAGTAGAGAGTGAGTGGGAAGACTGCGTTTGTTCGAATAAAGAGCAGTGAAGGAAATGAACTAGTCTGCACAAGAAAGCAGCAGGTGTTATGAAATGACGTAACGGATCGTCTGTGTCTCATTTGTGAACGCGTGTAAGGGTCAATCTGTGTTCATTTCAGTTTTTGGAATTTTTCAAATTACAGTAATTGACATGGTTCATCATTATTTTCTCGTTCAAATGCTCCGCTTATTTCGTAATTTTGGCTTTCCATCGCGAACCAGTATCTGTTATTTATTAGGAAATATTTTAGAATTTGCACACGAATCACGTAAGATATATTAAAGATCTTATAGATATATTAAAGTATTATAAGGTCAATTTGATGTATAATGCTGATCGATTTGCAAAATTGTAAAGTATGCGATACCTTGATTATTACAATATATAGCAGACTTGTGCAATATTTATTAAATTTCACTAATTTTTTATATGCATATCATAAAATCATTTTTATAAAAAACCGTTTACTTTGAATTTATTGCATAATTACATTAAGATTTATTGTACATGCAAAGTATTTATTACTACCGGTAATAAGAAGTCTATATTGATCAGTCAATGGATATATTTAAATACAATGTTTTCGAATATAATTTTTATAATGAGAAAACTTTTATTATATGTATACTTTTCTTCAATCATATTCGATAGTTTTTTTGGAATTCAGAGATCTTAGCTGTTTTATAATGATAATGTAAAAATTAATTATAATTGTTATATATTTATTAAACTTAATATATTTAATAAATTTTATATATTTATAACATATTTATTTATGTAACTTTTAAACAACTTGTCATAATTTGTTAAAATAGATATAATATGTTACATAGAATGTGTAATAATATACTATACGTTAATTTTTTAATTTTGTATATTATAATTTCTACTTTAAATAACATTGTTTTTTAGTTTTGTTTTAATTATAGTTAGAAATATGCTTTCACAAATATCATATTTTAAAATATATTTTATGTCTGAATAATATATAACTATTTAAAAATATAAACATACATATATATAAAGATAAATACAATTACTGAAATATTTATAAACATTTAGTTTATAATTTTACGATTAAAATTTGCATTATTTATGTATCAGAAAATAAAACTTATTTATATTTATATAAATTCAATCACAAGTGATATAGAATTCATTTATATATATATATATATATATATATAAATGAATGTTTTTATAAATAAATTAATTAATACAATGAATTAAATATTTCATTGATATTTTATTTATTTATAAAATTCTTTCAAAATGAAAAACTTAGTGTTATTTATTAATTACTTTTAATTTATTATGATGAAGTCGTCGCACAATAATAAGCTAGAAAATTTTCAAATATTCAAGTAAAGAATAATATTTTTTTAAAGTTGGTGATCCATAATTAAAAAATTTTAAAATAGATATTTTATCGCTGTGAATGGTATCTTATCTTCAATACTCAACACGGGCGCCTTTACTCATCGATGAAACTTTAAAGAAATTAACGTTCAAGTACACATGGAAGGTGTAGTATCTCACGTTTTATTTGTTTGCAATACGAGTGAATAAATGTCTTAACATGGAATTAAAAATTTGAATAAAGTGTCATTAGTAAGTTATTTTAGTATTTTATAATCTATTAGTTTTATTATTAAAATATCAAATGCAAATTTATAATATATTAAATTTTATTAGAAAAATTGAAAAAATTATGATACATGCACATATAATGAAATATTATCGATTTTATAAGTATTATATGCTAATGGATTTCCAAAATAATTTTATTTTACTTGTATTAACCAACGCTAAAGAAATATACTTCAATAATATTATAGGAATGTTTAATACGTTTATTATCTACATAGTATTTATACATTTAATATGAAATTTATTTTATGTGTTTACTAAACATTAAATGTTAAATATTTTATAAAATTATATATACAATAAAATCAATTATAATATCATAAATAAACAATTTTTTGTTAGTTAATTAAAAATAGTAAATAATATTATTGCATTTAACTTAAAAATTTAGTATTAATCGAAAATTTTTTTATTTTTTTAGGAAAGGAAATTTAATCCGATAAAATTAATGAAGTTTGATGCATAGTAAATTACAGAATTAACAATAATATTATTTAAGATTTTATGAATTATCATATCTAACAAATACAACAAATATTTTTTATATCATATAAAAAAAGATAAATAAACAATATAAAACAATAAATTTAGATCGGTTGCAGCATACGCCTAAAATATCTTTTTTCTCGTACCAAGATTGGTATACAAAATTTCAAAATGAATGAATCTTTGAAAATATTAAAACTCTTATATTACAAAAATTTACTCACGCGTAAAAGACAATGGAAAATTATTTTAATTGGAGAAATTTTGATTCCTGTCGGATTTATGATGTGCGTATGGGCAGTGAGAAATTTATCTGCAAAACCTTCAATCCGTTTTGAAAATAATACTTATTACAAAAACGTGTCTAAAGAAGAAATGGTTAATAAGCTGTATTATGCTCAAGTTAATTTACATTTTACACCAAATAATAGTTTTACGATAACACTGATTAGAAACGTAGTAGACTGTCTACGATTGGATCCAAATAATATAAGTAAGTATTATGTCAAGAAAAAGTTCTAAATTCTAAATTCTACTATCGATTTATTTTTAAATATAAACTGAGAAAAAATAGATATATGATACACAGACGTGATGTGCTTATACTATTTTTCTAACATAAATCGATTCTTTTGTAAGTTATTTTTCATTTCTCAAATTCTGTTTATTTAATAGCGGTGTATGGATATGAAACAGAAGAAAATTTAGTTGAAAATTATCAGAATACCAAAGTTGGATCAGTAACTAAACATGCGGCAGTAGTTTTCAATGACCAATATATTAATGGATCGACAAAACATTTAAACTATAAAATACGAACAAGTAATTTTATGCCAACAGAACAATACAACATCTTTTTTTTAAAAAATATGTTCGAATATTATACAAGCATAAATATGTTTGTGCCCTTACAAATGTGCTTAGATGAGTCATTCATAAAGATGAAAACAAAAGATCTATTATTTAATTCCCAAGTATTAATACAATCATATATATATATATATATATATAATTTAATATATTTTTATAGAAAAATAGATTATATTTATCTATAATATAATATTTTATTGAGAAAATGTTTAATATTTTCCTAATGCGTACATGCAATTAATTAATTTATTTTTATAAATAATCGTATATATATTTTTAAACTATGAAATGTTGCAGATTTTTGTACAACGAATACCCTATCCACCACATATACAACAAAGCTTGACAGATTCAATTATTAGACAGTTATTTACAGCTGTTATGATAACAATTTTCATGATTCCATTATTTATTGAAACTTCAAATGCATCAAGTGAAAAATTTGCTGGTATTCACGTAAGTGTACATGGTCAAAATACATTTCGGATTACACTTTTTTATTCATTCAAGGTATTTGAAAAATTCAAATATAAAGTGATTAATATTTTATAGAAAATTGATTATATAAACAATTTAGTGACATAAAAAACCTATTTATTTTAATTATATTTAGTACCAAACAATTATACTTTGTACCTTATTAAATAAATATTTAGTAAATTACTCCTAAACAAGTCATATATAAATATTTGATAATATTAATATTTATATATTATATTTAAACAAAAATAAATTATATAACTTACATAAATAAAAAATAAATAACAAAATTTGAATTTTCTATATTTCTGAATTAATGAATATAGATTTTAGAATTTTTAATAAATGATAAAATTAATTTCTAGGGTTTTATGTAATCTATTAGATTTCATCAACTCAATTTTAATGAATCTGTATTATCAACTAAAGCTTTTGTTACTATTCTATTAACACTATAATTATATTGACAAGTTCAATACGTAAAATATATAATACTGTGTATTTAAGTTTGCAAAAATAACATTATAACGTAAAACATTTTAGGTGTTAATGTCAATGAATGGTGTTTCTAATGCTTTGAATATATTTAGCTGGCTTAGTAATGGAATCATTTTTATTACGTTAGTTTGTGTAACACCTATAGTCGTTATACTACTATACTCTACAAGTGACGCACTTCCTTTCATAAATTACAGCAATCCATTTTTAATATGGTTGGCACTAACATTACATATTGCACATCTTTTCTCATATGGCATACATATCTCTGCATACTTTTCTAAATGTAAGTTTATGAATAACAAAAATAACAGTCAAAAACTTATTGATAATAATTAACATAAGAAATTTTTTGCAGTTTTGTATGTTATATTTGGTATTTTAGCTTGCAATATTTGCTCAGCAGTATTGCAATTACATGGTTTAACAGAAGACACTTACGTATACGCACCGTATTTAGGAATAATTTTTCCAAATATGTTATTAAATCGCATTATAGAAGAATTTAATTATTATGAAGCAACGGGTATGTTTATACACGAATCACATATTTCTTAATAATATTGGTAAAGATTTTATAATTATTCTTCCATATTAGTATCATGATCCGCATTATTATGCATACTCTTCAATAAGTTTAACATGCACGCATACCGACACACACATATATATATATCATTTTTAGGTGAAGGCATACAATGGAATAATTTGTATTTAGTTGGAAATCCAGCATATGAATTTATGGGAAGCACAGGAATGGTATTACTATTATCTGTAGTTGGAAGCATTATTCATTTTATACTAGCAATTTATATTTACGCAATTAATCCTGGAAAATATGGTGTTAAGAAGCATCCACTATTTTTCTTACAAGTAAAAAATTAAATATTAAATATATAACTTTATATTTATAATTTTAATTATTTATAATGTTATTTAAAGTATAGAAAAAAAACAGCCGTTGAGAATTACGTAGAAAATTTAGAATATAATAATCTGAATAAAAAACCTTTTGAAGCAGTATCTGGACAGGCTTACATGCCTGGAATTCAAATACGAAACTTAAAAAAATCCTATAATATCGGTTTATTTAATAATAAGGTAAGTTATTATATAACAATAAAATAATAAATAATTAGTACTAAAATTTATAACTATGTTTCGTTTATTGTTATAATGTATATTAGCAATTTCACGCATTATGTGACGTTTCTATAGATTTTTATAAAGGACAAATTACAACATTATTAGGTCACAATGGAGCTGGAAAAACTACTATGATGTCTATTTTAACAGGTTCAAATTTTCAATAAAAAATAAGTATATATAATATTTATTTTTAAAGATTTTATAATATAGGTATGACGAATCCTACCGATGGTTTAATAATTGTAAATTCAAAAAATATGAGAGAATATGCTACTGAAATAATGAATGATATAGGACTATGTCCGCAAGAAAATATACTTTTTCCTAATCTTTCCGTTAAAGAGCAACTACTATTTTTCGCTATGGTAACTATGCATTTTTCTTATATTTTTTAAATCATATGCAACTATTAATTACAATTTCAGCTAAAAAGTAACGAAAAATCAAAAGGAGAAATTGAACAAAATTTAAAAACTTTTCTAAAAAAATTGAAATTATACGATAAACGAAATTCTTTACCCAAAGAATTGTCGGGTGGACAAACGCGTCGAGTTTGCCTTGGTCTGGCATCGATAAGTGATTCAAGTGTAAGTTAAAATAAATATAAAAATTAATACTTTTAACCAAAAAATAAAAATAATGCCGTTTACTTATTATGTTTAAGATACTTATTTTAGATGAACCAACATCTGGTTTAGATCCAGAAAGTAGACGTATTATATGGGATATATTATTGGTAAATAAATGTTTATGTTGTTAAAATTATTATACTATTATCTTTTATTATTGATTAAATAGAAAATGAGAGGAGAAAAAACTATTTTAATAAGTACGCACGATATGGAAGAGGCTGATATTCTTGGAGACAGGATTGCAATAATGCATACAGGACAATTAAAAGCCTATGGAACATCAATGTATCTTAAAAAGTTATTAGGTACTTTTAAATTTATATATATATATATATATATATATATATATATATATATATATATATGTTTTAAAAATATTACTTTTATTTTTTTTAAATACTTTAAATAACGTGGAACACGATTTTTCAATTACAGGACAAGATAATATACAAGTAAGTTTATCTGTCGAATCGTGGTGTGATATTGAAAAACTTTGTGATAAATTAAATTGTAAAGATAAAAATATTAAAAATGGCAACAGAATAATTATGAATATTCCAAATTCTCCGAATCTCCCAGATTGGTTAGATAACTTGGAAAACTGTAAAAATGAATACGGTATATCAGGTTTAAGTATTTCTCTAATTACTTTAGAGCAAGTATTTTTGAAGTAAGTCTTCCATTTCTCTATTTTTTCTGTTTTAATTTAATTTTTCGTCGATAGTTAAATTAAAATTTTTTTATTTAATGTAAGAGTTACGAAAGAAAATGACGATCCAATAACACCACTCAAACCTTTAAATAGAATCGGACAGAAAGTAACAGGCATAGCACTTCGTATACAATTTATACGATCATTATTACATAAAAAAATGGTTTATACAAAAAATAACTTATCCGTGATTATAGTAATGATGATTTTGGTAAATATATGTGTATGTGTATATATATATTAGTATTTTGAATAATTATACTTCATTTTAAAAATTAATTTTTATAGATTTCTATAGATTTACTAAGTATTTCTCTTATTTTAAAAGAAAGAAACATTTTTAAACCGACAGATCGGTTAGTAAATTTAAATCTTAATTTGTACAATAATCCAATAACTTACTACAAAAGTTATGATCCGATTTTTGGACAAAAATATAAACTTATTTCAGAAAATTTCACTAGTAAAGCAACAGAAGCTGTAGAATCGAATCTTAACGATGGTAAATAATTATTCATACGCTTTTCTTATTTTTTTACAATATAATAAGCATTGCTGCATTTATATTTTATGTTCTTTTATAGTTTTAATAAATTATGCAAAGAATGATCTTATCTTTTATGATAATCACCTCATTGCTGCAGCAGAATTTAACAAGACGGGCAAAAGCCTGATACTCAATGCTCTTTATTCTGAAAAAGCCACATATAGTTTTCCTATTTCAATTAATTTACTTTCAAATACTATTATCAAGAGTGTTTTAGATGATGACTATTCCATAAGTTTATCTAGTCAAAATTTACCTTCTCTTAATGCTCTAATTTATACCGATAATACTACAATTAATGCCTTTACAACAGCTGTAATTTTTGTTTTTCTCTTTTACCCTGCCATTGCATTATTTGCTGTGCATCCTCTGCGCGAATCTTTAACAAATATAAAGCAACTACAAAGGATGGCTGGCGTTTCTGGTTTTATTTATTGGGGAACGTTATTCTTATTTGATATTATTGTATTTTTATTTCTAATAGCGCTTACCATTATGGGTTTCATTTCTATGGATTTTTTTCTTGATCTTCAAATGTATGAACAAACTGAAATCTGTAAGTAAAAATTTTATCTAATTAATATACATGATCAATTCACAAAGTCACTAAATAATTATATATATACTACATAATTAACTGGAATTACATATAATCATATACAAATATTACTATATTTATACATATATCTATATATATATATATATATATATATATATATATATATATATATATATATTCATATATTTTATATGTATTTAGGTAAATATAGTAAAATATATACAAATTTGTGTAGAATTTATAATGACAATAAAATAAAAATATTATTTATAAGATAAATTTTAATTATTAACAGCAAATAGAGGTAAATATTACATTAATATCATACTAATAATTGTGATTATTAAATTATATTTTAGTGATATTGCTGCTTCTATTCGTACTATTTGCAATAAACTCGTTGTTATTTGTTTACATATTTACTTTCATAAATACATTAACGAGTTCTGTAATACGACTGTTAACTTATATACCTATGAGCCTTGGTAAGATTAAGAACACTATATTGAGTAATTAAAATAATATAAAAAGATTAAATAAAATTGACTAAAATATAAGTTATTAAATCTTTTAGTATTAATGGAACTTATTATGTGTGCAGTTAAAGCTCAATTAGATGATTATGAAGTTGTAAAAATTTTGCGTCCAATTCAAAAAAAAATATTTCTCTTAATTCCTTACTTGAGCTTCTTTCACAGTCAAATTTCATTTTACACAACAGCACAACAAAATTCTAGGTGTAAAAAAATGCCTAATCAATTTTATAACACAATGTGTAATACACTGAATCCTAACTCTGACATCTGTTGCGGTATAAATTCCTTTTTAAGATATCATATATTACGATCGATACATTATCAGTAATTTTATTTTATTCCATAATACAGAGATGGAGTGTTATAATGGAGAATGCAAAAACTATTTGAAATACTTTACTAATTTTGAAAAAGAGATCACTTTGGAAGAGAGTATAATGTATCTGAGCGTCACGCCCATACTATATATTGGGATTCTTCTTTTACTAGAATTTAGAATTATTCAGAAGCTTAGAGTTAAGATGTCAAAACCTATTTCCTTTGAATATGAAATAGAAGAACAAGTAAAAAAAGAGAAATTATCCATTGCCAATAAACTTTCTGAACTTAAGAAATGTAAATATATTTTTTGCTAAAATAAAGCACACCAAAGCTTTTTAAAGAATGTATGCATTAATTATATTATAAATTAATACAATACAAAAATATATACTCAACTGATATTTAAAATATTAAATGAAAAATTTAAATAAAAATTAAAAAAGCTTCTAAAATAAAAATAATTGTTTATGTATCGCGAATAAAGTTTATTTTTTGTTCTAAAAATTTAAGAATATAATATTGCAAGGATAAATACATAGAATAGACATTCTGTCATATTATATTGTTTTTTTTTTTTTTTTTTGTAAATTTCAGGCAGTTTAAGCGATACACATTTGAAAACCTACAATTATAATATAGAAATATTTCCTAATAATTCATCAAATTTCAATAGTAATAATCAATTGTTTTTTGTACATGAATTGCGTAAGCAATATGGCAATTTATTGGCAGTCAAAGATATAAGTTTTGGAGTTAATGAACATGAATGTTTTGGATTACTTGGCGTTAATGGAGCAGGAAAAAGTACTACTTTCCGAATGATGACTGGACAAGATGTACCAAATAGTGGCGTTATGTACATAGGCAACAATAGTATTAATGTAAATCGAACGGTTGTAAGTTATGTCATGGAAAGTGGAAATTTTCAACAAAAATATGATTTCTAAACAATACCTTTATTTCAATGAAAATGAATTTTTAAATTTCACAAATCACTTTCAGTTTCTATCGCAAATGGGATATTGTCCTCAAACTTATGCTCTAATAAGTTCGATAAATGCATTCGATCATCTACGATTATTTGCCAATCTTCGCGGTATTCCCCATTGTAATGTTGAAGAAGAAGTAAAAACGTGGATCCAAAGATTAAGTAAATTTATTAAAGTCGATAACTATAATTATCTCTTACTTAATGATGTGCAATAAAAAATTTTCAGATTTAAATGCATGCGCACTAAAACCTAGCGGTACATACAGTGGCGGCAACAAAAGACGTTTAAATATAGCTATGGCTCTCATTGGTAACCCAAATTTAGTTTTACTAGATGAGCCTACAACAGGCGTTGATCCAGCTGCTAGGAGATCATTATGGAATGTTATTCAATCTTGCCAGACAATAGGACAAGCTGTCGTTTTAACTTCTCACAGGTTGGTCATTTTATATGAAAGACTTAGATTAAACGACGTTTGATTTATAATTCTATTTTCTAATTCTCATTAATCAATCTTCATTACTTTCAATTTCTATTATAAATTAAAATATATTTTAATTAGTTATATACAAGCTATCAAGAGATTATTATTAAAAATGAATCTTTTATCATTTTTAGCCATATAAATTTTATTGTTATAAACCCATATAAAGTTTCAATAATATTTTGCACATGCATATAATAAACAAGAAATATTATTTCAACATTCTTTTAAATGATTTTTTTTAAAAAATATTTAATTTTTTTTAAACATTCTCTTTATTTTATTTTAGTATATACCAATAAATTTCAGTACTTAATTTAAAATTAGTTTAGAATATCATAGATAATTTAAAGAAATAATCTGAACCTTATCTCTTTAACATCGCAAATAATAACCGAGGCATTTCAGTATGGAAGAATGTGAGGCTCTTTGTAACAGATTAGCAATAATGGTGGGCGGCAGATTCTCATGCATTGGTCCATGTCAAGAACTGAAACAGCGTTTTGGCGCAGGATACGATATTCAAATGAAATTGAATCCCGATAAAGCGAAAAATCAAATCAACGATATAAAACAATATATTACCAATTGTGAGTTGGATATTGAGCTCGCTGATGAAAATTTAGTATGTATTAGTGGGTATTTAGTATTTCATTTTTCTCGGTGACACTGTTCCTGCTATTGTTATTAAATAAAAGAAAATTATTACTCAAATAGATTACGAAAGTTAAGAACGCAAATATAGAATTACAACGTGTTATTTTGTTATAAATTTAAATTTATAGTAGAAATGACAATACTAAAAAATATAATGAAAATTATGATACATTAAATTTACGTTCAATACAATTTTATATTATTAAATTTGATATTTCAGAATATATTTTGTAATAAAAACATATATTTTGTAACAAAAAATTTAAATATTTGAAACGACTTTTAATTTTATAAAGATGGAAGAATTCTCAAATTTATTACTCGGTCAATTTTTTCGCAAAATTCATTTCTCATCAAGAGAATTCAATCTTTTATAAATGCCATTAATTATATTCAATTTTATTACAGGGATATCTTCTGTATCATGTAACTACTACTAATACTAGTTGGCGAAAGATGCATGACATTATGAACATAGCGAAAATAAAATACGATTGTATAGATGATTTCTCTGTGGTATCATCAACGTTAGAGCAATTATTCTTATTGTTCGCAAGAGCTGTTGATAAGGACGTTAACCATGAAATCAAGAGAATTGATTAGATGTAACTTTCAGAACTATATAATAAATGTATATGAAGGATCGCTCAAAGATCCACTTGTATTTTTATAAAAAGTATGAAAATATGTAGACATGTCTATTTTATATAATATTTATAAGCTAATGCGCAATTCTTAAACAATAATTTTGTATTTTTCAATTGTATAATTTAGTATTACTACACACTTTATAAAAAATGTGAAATTTAAATTAATAATAATTATAGGATTTAATACGTTTTAATAAGTATACGTTAATCAGAATATAGTATTTTCTCCACTTAAGATAGCTAATTAATTATTATTTTTTGATTACATTCACAATATAATAATCAATATATAAATACTGAACATTTAAAAAAAAGTAAAAGAAATTTCCAAAGTAATTTAATATTCGCATCAATTTATTAATTGATAAATACAGCCGACCAATTAAGCATGATTAATTAATTCTCATTTAGAAAATAAGATAAAATTTACGGGCACACTTTGTGTAGTATAAGATAGTAATTAAGTGTTAAAACAATGTAGCATCAACAGAGTTAATAAAAAAAAGAAGAAGAAAAAACAAGAACGAATTGAAAATATTGGGACATGTGTATTATTTATTCTACGTGAATTTATATAAATCGAATTATGTTATAAATATAACAAATAATTTTATGATAATTTTTTCATAATTTTTAAAATAAAAATACTAATATTGAAAATTATTTTTATTTTTTACAATTAATGCAAAACTGGAATCTTTTAAATAGAAAGCAATTTGCTTTTGGTATGTCAGACATACGGAATAGCCTGTATAATATTAATTTACTTCAAAATACCTATGTGAATTATAGTTTCATAATAACTACGATCGTAAAAACAATTATTCGTTAATTTTATTTAATTAATGTTTTCAACTAATAAAATGACATATACAAATAATAATATTTATTTCATTCTTTATAAGCTCTAATTAGTTTTACTACATATTTTGCATGTATTCTATTGATATGTAAGAGAAGATTGTTTTAATATAAGACAAATATTAGTTTCTTCAGATAAGAATTTAGTTATTTAAAAATGAATGTTTATTAATGAAGCATTAGTATTTAATACTTTATCAATATTTTAAAAAAAATTTATCCCTTTACATTAAGTAATAAAAAAATATCAACCCTGATATTGTTTTATAATCACTTTTCTTTTTGTTTTGTCTCATTAGATATTGCATTATTTAATATAACAAATACGTTATATTTTTCTTCTTAATATCTAATTCGAATATTAATTTTTAAGTTATCTTAATTAATATTTTTATTAAATTGATCTTTTATTTTTAATTTGTATTTAAAATTAATATTTTACAATTAATTTAAAAATTAAAAGATAAATTCAATTATCTTTTAATAAATTAATTTTAAATATTATTGCTTAATGACTTGATTACATTAATTTATTTTTACATATAAATTATACTATATATAAAAAAAAATTATGAGAATTAATAATTACTTAATAAATTTTCAAAACCAATAAAATAAAACATCCATTCCAAAGAATGTACAAAATTAGAACAGATTTATTATATCATGATATATGGTACGCAGAATATATAAAAAAAAGTAAAATCAATATAACAATTTTCAGAAATTAAAAGGCCAAATACAATATTAGCAATAATACTAATTTTCAATTAAAATATTAAATGTAAATTTGTCTTTGCAGTTTTTATATTCGATACCATGAAATTAAGATGTTTTGCAAGCAAAATTCTTTAAAACTTTCTTATAAATTTTCTAAAAGTAAATTATATTAATTTGAGGATTATTTCAATTATTCAAATTTAATTTTTATTATTAATTCTGTATGAAAATATTTATAGTATTATATATATATATATATATATTTCTTGTAAGATTTGTGACACAAATCTTATTTTATAACTTAAAACGATTGTGAAATTCAATATCTTTTTTTTCTATATGTTATAATTATATATTAAATGTAGTCTACATAACTTTACTATTATGTATTTCATGATTTACAGATCAACTTTCTCATATTCATTAAGGCAATTTATTTTCGACAGAGATCAATATAGATTTACTGACTTGCAGAATAAAAAAATTAGCATTCTAGTTCGTTGTAATGCTAAGCCTGAGTTGTATCGCTTAAGTAGTAAAATTCCCTTATATATCTATATATTTTGCAGTATTTGCTTCAATTGACAAAAATATAATTATAAACTTGTAAAAGATGCAAACTTATAAATGGTATAGATAGTAGTACTCAATTTTATTATGGCGTTACCTCACATGTGACGCAATGTCCACCAAAACTATGCAAAGAAAGAACATAGCCGAGATGAATGTAACGGAGATTAAGAGGAACATCCATAATTGCTCAATATATCATTTGAGCCTTTACTCATACTTTTCATTAGAGCAGTTATTAATGATTATGAATGTGAAAGATTACAAAAACATTATAAGATATTTTTATTATAATATCAATATTTTCACTCACAATTAATTGAAAATTTGCATAAAAATGGTAAAGTAAAAAAAAATATGGGATCAAACGTGCTTCTAATTAACATTATTATTGGTGCCAGACAATCGCACCAATTTACAGCCTCAATGTATTGCGTAGCCTATCAGGTGCTTCAACTTTTTTCAATAAACGATTTCGTTACTGCCGCGTCGTGCTGCCGTTAATTCATATTATTTCTCGATGCCTGGTGCCTATCATCTCCTGGAGAACGAATATGAATCGCTTCTTTTATCCACTGACGAAGATTGGAAGCTGTTGTTGACGTCATCGGGCAATCAGCTTCACGGGTGGCACTCCCAAATACTGGTGGTAGAAGGGAGCAGATGGGAGAAATGTAAGATTGTAGTGGAGGAAGAATACGAGTTCGTGGAAAACAAAGGTGAGAAAGCATTCACGCTATTCGGCCGATATGAATAATTGATAGTGAAATTATTTTAAGTATTGCGTAAGTGGAACATTTGGCGCTAATGCTATAATTTCCTTCGTGATCGAAGCCGCATTGAATGTCCACTGATGAAGCGATCAGTTATTTTGTCGGTAATATTTATTCAGAGATGATTTCTGGCGAGTGATCTTTTATAGATATATTTTATATGTACCTTTCAATATTAGACATGCACTTTATCAACAACCGCTTGCAATTAATATGTATTAATCTATTTCCAATATTCGTAACAGATTAATTGCATCTTTTAATTGTGAATAATTAATTATGTTTGCAAAATGTCGAAGCTTCTCTAAATATTTAAAAAATACTCTGATCATACACACTTAATATTTTATTATATTTTATCAGGATTTCTACTTAAAAATTTAACGTATTATTTATTGATACATTGAAGCTTAGATACTTATATTTAAATATAATAAATAAGAAAGGAATTTATTTAACAAATGTTTTTACATAAATAGTATCATATTAAAATCATTTTAAAAATGTAAAGATATTATTTAATTTATTAAAAATAATAACTTTTTAAGCTTTAATGGTAGTCATCTTTCTCTCTTTTATTTAAATTTTTAGAAATGTATCGAAATTTATAAATAAAAATGAGAATAATTGAAAATATGAATAAATTGTAATTGTAATTATAAAATTCATAAATTGACATTATTAAGTATTTTCATCAAATATTCAAAGACTGCATAAAATCTGAAATATTGAAATATTATAATCACTTAAAATATTTTTGATCAAGATAATTTTCATAAAATTATTAAAAATTTATTATTTAAATATATATACTATTTCATTTATCTTTGATCCAGAATTAATTTGTAAATCATTTAAAAAATATTTATAGTTATATTTTAAAAAACGAGATCTAATTTTTGCAACAAGATACTTCAATAAAATTTCAAATGTACTTTTTTCGGCATTTATAAATTCTAATATATCGAAAATTGAGAAATTTATAATAAATTATATTATAGAATATTGTTATATTAAATTACAAATATTATTGTTATATTATATTTTATTATATATACATAGATATATATTATCTAAAATACTCAAAATATATATTTATGCAATATAATTTATCGTTTAAAAGATCATTTTGAAAATTTAAAATGTTAATTAATTATTTTCTGTTATTCGTTAAGTGAAAACGAAATTAATTATGTATTAACTATCAATTTTGACCCATATTTAACAATATGATATTTCATATTATTCTATGCAACATTTTCACTTCATATTTCTGGATTTCTCTAAGGTTCTAAAATTAATATCATTTATAATACATTACTGTCAGATAATAAATCATATATTTAGTTGATTACAAGAATCAATAAATCCCTAATAACTTGATAGAAAATAATAAGATCAGTATCAAATATACTTTATCTTTTGAAAATATTTTGTGATTACTGATTTGACTTTGAATTATTAATGATAGTATTAATCAAATCAAATTTGCCCATACTATTATTTATTTTATATATAACGTATTAGCTTAGAAAATGCATTATTAATTAGTAAATTATAGTCAATTACTTTTAAAAGTTTCATTGATTTATTAAATTATAATAATACATAATGACGCGTTAGTAGAAAGTGAAGGAATTATAAGGAATTGTAATTTTATATAAATTTAAGAATTAATTAATGATTAATTTTTACACATTAAAAAAATTAATATGACTATTAAACATCTACAAAAAACATATACTATTCATTGATGATAATTTTTACGTATTACTAAATTACTTAAACTTAAAATTGAACCAGCAAATTAATATTATATTGACTCTGCAGATACCATTACGTAAGTTAAACTTTTATGTATTAAAAATATTAAGCTATATAATCAAGACAGAAAGATCTACAATTGTTTATTTATTTATGATTAAAATTAGAATAATATATTTTTTTTAATTATCTTCTAATTTATTAAAAAATATATATTTTACTTCTTCTTTTATAAAAATATTAAATATTAATGTATGAAAATTTTAATATTTTGAATAAATTATTCAGAATTATTTCTATGCACTTAAAAAAAATCAT